CGGGGTTGTTAGTGCTAGGCTCAATGTTTACGAAGAACATATTAAGGGGCTTTTTGTTTTTCCTTGATATTGCACAGATGTTTTCTCCTCGTACCCTGTTGCCTGTTTTTCCTATTGCTTCTGTTATAGCTGATTTGGGGGTGGTATGATGCAAGTTTTTGATTACAATTCGGTAACATTTATTTTGCTTCTGTGTGAATGTATGACCTATGAGGTCATTATTCCGGATGAGTTCTATTAGGTCCTTATATATTTCAGTTGACTGAGTTATCACTCTTAGCTGATCTCTATTAATGATTTTGTACGAGTAGCTGTCACTGGGTATCGCCTTATTTAATAGCTCTGTTAATTTTGATAGATCTTCTATGCCATATAATAGAACTGGTGGTGGTTTGTAATTTTTTTTTTGGCTTTATTGGATGGATTTTCCGTTGTTTCGTCCGTGAGATCTATAGAATTTACAGCAAGCCCGCTGTATCTGTTAGAAGTAGTCATTCCTATATGTGCTATGTTGTCGGGTTTTTCAATTAATGGCGGGCTGTCGGACAGTCTCTTCCTTTTGGCGTAGCGGCCTTTAGGTACTCTTTGCCAGTGGGGAGGGCATGCTTTGTTGGCACCATCATCTCTAATATTCGTGTCTGAGGACGTACTAGGTACATTCGCTGTTTCAGTGGTTTTAATGTTTCCTAGTGAAAACGATATTGGTCTTGTGATGAAAAGGCTTGGATGGAACGCCTGTTGAGTGAGTTTTTTAGTTGTGCTTCCAGAAGCATTCACCGTCACTGGAGCCTGGTCGCCTACTCCCGTGCAGTCTTCGGTAGCATATTTCACACTCGCTGGCCCGGGTACCAACGAGCGCCGGGGGTTAGCCGGATCGCATGACATATCAACAATCTTATCATTCATATTTCCATATTTAAAAGTGGGACATACACATGTCGCTTTCCCAAGGCGACATGACCATACTTTTAGGAGGGATTTAGACCAGGAGTCAGGTTAATTAACTGCCGCCTGTTACTCGGCGTTGTTGCTCATTTAGCACCATCCGGGGGGCACGTGTAGGGGGGGCACGTGTAGGGTGGGCCTAGGAAAAGGTGGTAAATCCTACGGACGCGAGCAACTCAAAGTTGGCGTCAGATGAAAAAGAAAATTTTCCAACTGCAACATAACTTTAGAAAATAATTTTTATATGGATGATTTTTGCGGCGGTCACCACGAAATGAATTCAGCTATAAAATTAAGAGATGATCTAATAAAATTGCTTCAGTCAGCAGGATTTAATCTGAGAAAATGGACGGCTAACGAAACATTCTTATTAGAAGGCTTAGAGATCAGTCAAAAAAACCAAAAAACATATGAATTTAAAGAAATAGATTCTTCTAAGACCTTAGGCCTAAGTTGAAATCCACAAAAAGATAATTTACTTTTGAGTCAAAAATTAGATCGAATTCATCACCACCAACGAAAAGGTCATTGCTGTCAGATATTTCTAAATTGTTCGATCCGCTGGGGTGGCTCACGCCATTAAGCACCAAACTCAAGGGAATGGAAATGGGGAAGAAAATGGGATGATACTTTACCTAACGCTATAATTAACGAGTGGAATAAATTAAAATATGACTTGGCTGAAATAACTACAATTGAAGTCAAAAGATGACTCGTAATAAAAAGAAAACCAAATTGTAGAGTTGCATGGATTCTGCGATGCATCGAAAAAAGCATATGCAGCAGTTATTTACTGTAAAATTATCAACGGGGCTGACTAGGTCACAACGACTCTAATCGCGGGAAAATCAAGATTAGTACCTATTAGTAAAGAAGTATCGACCCCCAGATTAGAGTTAATGGGAGCAAAACTCTTATCTGAACTCATTAAAAAAGTTCAAAAGTGTTAAGCGGATTATAAAATTAAAGAAATTAAATACTATAATGAACTTTTACTTACGCAGCATTTTCATATTCATGCCAGACGTCGCAGGCGCTGGCGTGGCCTTATCGACGGTGTAGGATATATAGCAAATGATCTGCTTGGGTTACTGGACTCCCGCTTCGCAGAAAAATACAGTAAGGATATTGCAACCATTCAGAAAAATGAAAAACATTTAGTCAATTTGTGGAAAAACCAAACAAATTCAACCAAATGAAAAGAATGGAAGCTACTGTTGACAAACAACATAAAATAATTAAAAAACTAAACGAGTTGCAAGTAACCAGTAATTCGATACAGAAGGAAATTTTCAATATGTTTTATGTTCAAGACTTTACGCTGTCGGCTATTATTGGTAATAGTCTGTTACAAAATATAAAGAGATTGCAAAATACAATGCTCGATACATTAACAGATATATACCATGGTCAAATTAGTTTACATTTATTAACGCCAGATCAAATAAAAAATGAGCTCCAAGTAATTAATGCTCAGATGCCTCAAGAGCTCACGTTACCAATAAACAATATTGAAACAGATTTTCAAAACATATATAAATTATTAAAAGTGAAAGCTAGATTTACTGGAGCATTCTTAATCTTTGAAGTTACATTCCCGCTGATCGATATACAGAGTTTTCAATTATACAAAATTATACCAATTCCGCGCCAACTAAAAAACAACATGGTCACCCTACTGCCCGTTTCGGAATATGTAGCAGTGAATCTTAAGAGAGATGCATTCTTCACCATCATGTTATCAGAACTGAACACTTTTCTACATAATGGAGATATATACATGTGTCGAGTGCCGAAACCTATCTTATCTCTACAAAATGATGAAAGTTTTTGTGAAAAAACCTTGAACGATAAACAAACAATGCAAAGTTATTAATTCACCATGCCAGAATAAATGGATCGAGTTACATTCCTCACATCAATATCTATATTTTTGTTGCGACGTTTATTCAATAAAAAATATTTGCGATGATCAAGTTACCATGCGTCAAATAACAGGCGCCGGGTTCATTAGCATGTGTTTCAAATGCATTATAAAAGGCAAAGATTTTACTTTGCATTTTGCACATTCCAAAGCGAACCAAATAAACTATACACCAAATATCGTAATACCAGAAATAGATCAGATTAATCATATTGTGAAGGTTCAAATTCCAATTGAAAATTATGCAGAATCAATTCTAAATTACAATACATCCCTGCTGAATCTCGAAAAACATATTAGTAGCTTAAAGAACAGCAATAGAATAGAATTACTCTTTATTGTCAAAACCACATACACAGAAATTTACATACAAATATTAATATTACAGTGTAACAATTGGTGGTCTTATCGCTTAGAGCGATCTCTACCAGACAACCTTTGGATGGAGAAAGTTAAATGACAATCAGGAAACGGGAGTGCAAACTCAAATAATTTTGTAGATTATAAATCATAAATATTTAATTACATTAAATAAAAAGCTATAAATACTACTAATAACTAAAATAAATAAAAATAACAATTGCATATATAACATATTACTGATAAAACTACATCGACATAAAAATGTAAAATAAATAATCATGAAATACATAAAATATATATTTATAATGTCTACTAGAGAAATTATGAAATTGTTGTAACAGCATAGTTATGTGGACAAATAGAGGTTTTTCACCAAATCTTTAAAGATATTTATCGATTGTGCACGTCTTAATGTAGTCGGGAGAGCATTCCATAGTCGAACAGCTTGGACACTGAAGGAACCATCATAGAAGGTGGTGCTATGTAAAGGCGTTTTCAGTTTCAGATTTTCTGATGATCTCAAACTACAGGAAGTTTAATGGACTAAAGCGCTCTTTCAAAAAGCGGGGGTAAAGGGGATTAAACAGTATGTTGTAGAGGAGGGATAGTATATGAGCATTCCGGCGAAAACGAATAGGAAACCACTTGAGCTGGGTGCGAAATTGAGAAATGTGATCATATTTGCGCAATCCAAATATGAATCGTATAAAGAAATTCTGAAGTCGCTCAAGTTTATTAAGTTGGTCTTCCGTAGGGTCAAGATAACAGATATCGGCATAGTCAAGTAGTGGAAGCAACAGAGATTGTGCTAGAGCAATTTTAGTGGTAGTAGGCAAGTAATTACGCAACCTCCTCAATGATGCAGCAGAAGCATACAGTTTACGACTGACCGCCTGCAACTGGGGTCCCCAACTCAAATTACTATCCATAATCACACCCAAGTTTTTAACCGATTCACTAAAAGGGATGTCAGTTCCGTTAAAATTTACTTTAGGAAGGAGATGCAAATCTAATTAAGAGATCAACCTGGAGCTACCTATAATATTTTTTTTTTTTTGGTTGGCAACACTGGCCACCTCACTTGTTAAATGTGTTTGTCCGTATTCAAAATTATAATTTAATTATTTATTCAGCTTTAAATAAGTAAATTTTGATAGTAATAGTGAATATGCATCATAGTTAATATATAGCAGTGATATCTTAGTGAAACATTACATTTGTGTTGAGTAATCATCGTAACAAACCGCAAAAAATCTGTCAACGGTCTGGAAGATTTTTGAATCAGCTGTTCAAAACTAATAACAATAAAATTATTTGGACTTCTACTTCTGAAACCTGGGGAGTATTGTTTTTCATATGTTTACAATTTACACACATTAATTATTACGGTGATTCTTTTGGTTTTTGTTACAATTGAATTCCATATTATTCCTTTTTTTCTTGGCAGCTATCATATATTATCAAGATTTAAAGTCATTTGCAAATCTTAATAACAATTGTGGATCCAGCAATTAATCGTTTTTTGTAATACATTTAACTTAATACTTTCAAATAAGCGTTTTTTTTGTGTGACATTTCTGGTTTCTCAATACCTTCCGTTTCAAACTTATCATAACACTTATCAGAACTCACGATTAGTGAGAAACGTCACAAATCATAACAGTTTGGTACTGTTAACCTCTCTTTACTTGACATGAAGTGGAAGTAAAGTTGATGGTGACCGAGTTGTCACAGACATTCATTACTACTACTACTCTTTACAAAATATTTACTTGCATAATTAAACATTCACATTAATCACAGCTGAGAAAGTCATTTATTGTTTGTGATTAGAATTACTTATTCTAGTATATCATTTATGCACACACTTTTAATTTTTAATTAAAATTAATTGTAAAAGAAATTATTTTATTCAGAAATGCATTAAGATTATAATAAGTTACATCTTTTTGATGCTAGTGTATGGACATTGGACAAGTCACTGCTGGAAATGATAATATTGTAATAATAAATAAAAGCAATTATAAATAATTGTATGAGAGGGGTACACATGTATATTAAATTCATTATTTTAACTAATTGGTGATTGGATATTAAAGTGACACTATTTTGTTCTATTTTGTTAAACTTAAGTGCATAAATAATTAGAATAATTATTATTTGTCTACCCACCTATTCAATACTATTGAACTTGAAATCAATTCTCTCATCTCATCTTTTCTTATAAATAAGATTCTTAAATAGAATAGAGTTAGTTAATTGTGAAACTTTTAACTATCCAATTTTACAAATTAATTCTATGTTTTTAGTTAAGGAGAATATATAATATTCCATACCGAAAATGATGACTCGCAAAGCTACAGCACAAAACACCGAATTCAAATTAAGGCAAACATTAAAAGAACTGAAGCAGTCTAAAGAAACATGTGATCAGCTGCTCCGAGACCGTGAGGAGAGTGAAGAAGAAATAAAGAAAATTATTGCAAAAAATTCACAATTGAAAAGTGATCTCGCTGAACTGCACTCTCAACATGAAGAAGTGCTTTATCAACGTGAACAACTACACAACACCCTCAGTAGTTGCAGCAAGGAATTTGACACATATAAGAGGGCTCTGCAACGCATAGATGACCTAGAACGAGAACTTAGTGTAGCGAACTGTCAAATAAATCTATATGCGGAAACTCAACAACTGCAGGAGACTCTTCATACTCAAAGCCTCTTCGAGGAGCTCATGGCATCACCTGGAACACCCCTGACCCCACAATGTTTAATTTCTACTAATAGAGAAGTAACCCACCACCCACAAAGTATAAAAAAAGTTAAAAAATATGTACGAATTAGTAAATTTATTAAAAAAATAGAAAAAAAAATTAAAAGAAACCAAGGCTATCATAGAAACATTACTCTTAGAAAAGAAAAAAATAGTTTAATAGACTCACTAGAAATTTATAGTTCAAAATTAAATTAGAGTAGGCAAATGTATGACCGGGATACTAAACAATTATGTAAATCTAGAAATTCAGAACTTGCATGCTTCTTTAGAAAATATGGAGAAAAAATACCTAAGTGCACAGAAACAAATAAGTGAACATATAATGTCAGCTACTGAGTTGGTCGATCTTTGCAATTATAATGCTAAAAGATATGACTCTTTATTAGTAAATCAATTAATTTGTTCTAGAAATGAGTCTTCTATACCTGCATTATCTAGTAGTAACACACAGAGTGTGATTGAACAAGATCTCAGTCATTCATCTGCTATTTCACAAACCATAATTACAACTTATAATACAATTCCTTTCAGAGCAGTGGTGTCAAATAATTTAAATAACAGTAAAAACAATTATGTTTTCTGACAGACTAGGACAGGGAATGGGGCTATCAATTAAAAGTAAATATGACCAAAACTTTATAAATATATGTACTCCAGGACAATCGCTGCAGACGTCAGCGTAGTCGATGATAGGTAAAATGAGTATCTGTACCAGTGCGATTTTAGTGCTGAATGGGAGAAAAAATTTCAGTCTATAAAGAGATCTAAGCGTGTTGACTACTTTTCGGCACACTTCATCAATCTGCACCTCCCAGCTAAGAGTAAAATCGATGTGCAGGCCCAGATTTTTACACTGGCCTGAAACGGAATAATTTCACCGTTATATCGTATAGGCGCAATGCAATTTCCATAAATAGCTGACTGCTGGCGTGAACTACCAATAACTATACTTTGGCACTTAGATGTATTAACGGTCACACCGTAACAGTTGGACCACTCCAAAATAGTAATGAGATCCTGATTAAGGCTCAAAATAGCATCGTTGATGTTGCTTTTGTCTGCTTGAGCATATATTTGAAGATCGTCTGCATAGAGATGATAAGATGAGCGAAGACGAGAAGTAAGACAGTTAATAAATAATGTGAACAGAAGTGGAGATAATATGCCGCCCTGTGGAACGCCGGCAGATAAGTCACGCCAATCAGAAGTGCTATGATTGGTCCGGACAGCTTGCCGGCGCCCCCGAAGATACGACGAAAACCATGCCTGAGCTGAGGAAGAAAGTCCGGTTTGCGAAAGGAAAGCAAGAAGGATATCATGGTTAACCGAGTTGAAGGCATTAGAGAAATCGATCAAAACCATAACAGTGAGTTGCGATTGCTCCATACCATTACGGATATCTTCCAAGATATTAAGAAGAGCTGTAGTTGTACTATGTCCAGGTCGAAACCCGGACTGGAAAGGACTCAAAATCTGCAGTCGAGCTACATAAGATGAGAGTTGACTATGGACAGCAGCTTCCAGGATCTTGGAGAGGAAAGGTAGTATGGAAATAGGACGAAAGTGATTTGGAGTAGAAGGATTAGAAACTTTAGGTAAAGGAATAGTGAAAGCTTTTTGCCAAATGGAGGGAAATTTGCCAGAGGAAAGTGAGTGGTTAAGAATAAAGGTAAGAACCGGGAGAATACAGTCTAGGATGAGAACGATCATTGTTCTACCAATGTCATCACTACCCACGGCGTTGGATTTGATGGACCAAATTACCTTACGGACAGTCTCCTCAGACAAAGGGCTGAAAAAAAACGGTTCAGAACTAGAGGGTGCCGTGGACGTTATAGAAGAAACGGTGGATTTAATAATGGAATTAGAAATCGGGGTTACAGATGAGAAATGTTTGTTTAGTTCTTCCGACGAGCATGAAGAACCACACTGAGGAGCCGCTTTACCAAAGCCCAACGAACGAAGAAACTTCCAAGCATCGGCAATATTGGAATTTAAAATGTTGTTATGAATATATTGGCGTTTAGCTGCTCTTACCATCCCATTGCAACGATTTCTAGCAGTTTTAAAAGCGTTCCAATTGAAGTCAGTACGACATCTTTTAAAAACACGAAACAACTTGTTACGCCTTCTCATGGCCATACGCACACCATGGGTGATCCATGGCGCAGGTGGCCGTCTCAGTTTGACGTACTTTTTAGGCGAGTGTTTATCAAAAAGCTGTAACACACAATCATTAAATTGACCTACCATATTATCAACACAAGTGGCTTCACTAATAGGCGTCCAATCAACGGCACAAGCGTCATCTCTAAGTTTACCGATATCAAGCCTTGTGAAATTGCGCATCTGTACTAAGAGGGGTTTGGGTTTAGGAAGTTTGGCTTTATAAGTCAGAAATATAAGATCGTGCCTAGAGAAGCCAGGCGCAGGCAATTGACCGTGTATAGAGACATTTTCTGCAGAAGATATGTAAATTTGATCGATCCACGAGCCCGAGGTGGTGAGATTATGATGAGTGGGGTCAAGAGGAAGAATCGTGAGGTTCACCGACTCTACTAAGGATCGTAACTTGCGAGAAGAAACAGAGTCTCTTAAAAGGTCAGTATTAAAGTCTCCCATGATAATGTGATGAGTATAGTCAGTAGCAACTGAATTGAGAAGAGAATCTAAATCATTAAGAAAGTCAATAGAAGGTGGAACAGTATATTACTCCCAGGACAACCTTGACACCCAAAATGTCGACTTCAAGGAAAAGATACTCCATATAGCCAGAACGAGAGGAGGAGGAACTTAAGAGTTTGTAGGAAAGAGAACTTGACAAATAAATGGCTACCTCTCCACCACTCCTATCCATACGGTCATTTCGAATAAGACTGTAGCCTGGGAGCTCATAGAACATAGAAGTTAGACACGGCTTAAGCCAACTTTCTGACACCAGCACGGCATGAACCGTGTTGCTAGAAAAGGTATGAAGTAAGTCGGAGTAATGCCTAGGAATACTCTGTGCGTTGATGTGACAAGTATTAAATGTGTCACGACACTGACCAAATTCACGCGTTAGAGAAATGCACAGATCCAGTGAGTCATCGAGGGAATGGTAAGATGAATTATCACTAGCAGAGACGCAACTTTCCACATCCGACATTCTGTATAATAATAAATTTAATATATAAAAATATGTAGACGTAACAATAAATAAACTATAAAACTATATCACTACCAATCATCAATATTCATTATACCGCAATCCACACATCCTGCAAGCAGACTGTTCACACATAACTATTCATACAAATTTCAAACACTGATTGGCTGTACAGATAATATGCCTTTGCTTGTACAAAAAGAATAGATACTACGAATCTGTCAAAACACTGAAATGTCATTGTCATTGCATCTGATAGAAGTTATAAAATTAACAAACAAACTGAAATATTAATGTTACCATGAAAAGTTATGAAAGTACATTCGTGGTCAAGCGTGCCTATCCACCTTAAGGTCGTGTTTCCCGTGCGCTCACTTTGTATAGTTTGTACGGGGCGGAGTTTGACTTTTTTTATTTGGCATTCATGAATGGGCAACGATAGTTGGATGTGATGAATGAATAGTGCATATAATTTAACTTAGTTTAATATTTGTTTAGGATTTAAACAATGGACGATTCATTATTATGTGTTATTTAGTCCTCGTATAAGTTTAAAGCCAAAACCAGTTCCTGTGATAAGCGCGTTCAACCAAACAAACAAGAAAAATCTTAAGCGTCTGAATATTATCAGTATAGATTGATTATAATAAACATAAATACACCGTTTTTAATTTACAATAATAATAAAGAAAGAAAGAAAAATAGTTTCATGTTAATTATAGTAAACAAAACTGTCAATTATAATGATGAAAGTTGTAGCTTCTCTACAATAAAATTACAGATTATTGATTTTTATAGTATACTGCAATATTAATTGTATCTCATTCGTAAGTAAAAAATGACAATTTAAAAATAAGACATTATGTGTCTAATCTACCACTTTTACCGTCGTACAAACAATACAAGTTCTTGAGCTACAGTTATAAAGTTCAATTTTCTTCATTCTGTTTCTGCATTATTGCATTGTTGCCAAGCCGCTACAAGTAAATTTGTAACGGCTTGACAACAATGCAATTGCCTTACATCTAATATTTTGCATCTTTAAGTATTTTGTCGGATAGTTCTGTAAGAAACTATTTGTTAAGTTTCTTTCGTTTTCGTTCCAGTTTAACTACTATCTTTACTACAACTAACCTAAATATTTGAAATTCACACAATCATAGTTGTATTAAAAAGAAGAAATGTCATTCTTTCTGAAATAAGATAAATCTGCTTTTTGATTTTTAATAAGATTACTAATAAGAATAATTTATTAATAAGAATTTGTTTGAAAGAAGAAAAAAATAATAATAAGAATTTGATTTTTAATAAGATTATTAATAATAAGAAATAAGATTAATCTGCTTTTTGATTTTTAATAATTGATATAATATAGGTAATGCAATATTATTACACTAGATATTTTAATTACAAAATGATTAGATATATGCATATAATAAATTAAATAAATTAATTTCATGATCAAATTCTCGAAATTTAGAGTAAAAATGTATCTGTAAGAAACAATTTGTTAAGTTTCCAAGTCAATTTTATAAAACATGAGCCAATTTACTTGTGATGCAATAGAAATAGATAGAAGTATATTTTATTTAAGACTAGTTTTCCGCTACCGGCTTCGCCCGCCCGTGGTCCCCAGGGAACTATTTAGTAGGATAAAAGTATCCTATTATCTAAGTCAGCTAATACCCTACCTGTATACCAAATTTCATCAAAATCTGTTTAGTAGTTTCAGCGTGATCGACGGACAAACAAACAAACTTTCACATTTTTAATATTAGTGTAAAAAATAATGATCTAATGTTTAAAACCGAAAGTTATTAATTTCATTTGATTGATTTGTTATAATTGGCAAATATATATTTTTTTAATATAACAACTTTAATTGAGCAAGGATCTTATGACAAAAAAGAAAGTAAAAACTTTAAAAAAATTGAACCGACATCAAATTTAAAAATGTGAAAAATAACACCTATCTTAAAAACGGTTAATTTTTAAAGAAACATTAAAGTCGGGCGGTTAATATTTAAATAACTTAAGAAAACCTCAGCCCGCTTGAAGTCGGTTCCATTTTTTTGAAGTTAAAAGCTTTCTTTTTTGTTCTGTTTCATGCATTCACATCACGCATACTTAATGCAAATTTAAGACTTATACGGTTTTCTCATAGATACCATTGCCAGATCTGGACCACATG